GTGTAGTCCCCACTGTGCCCGTTGGGAGAATCGGCCGGCTCGTGCAGATGGGGGTCGGTACTGTACCATGCAGCCGAAGACTCGTAACATTTTTGTGCTGCCCAGTTTCCCTGTCCACAGCAGATGCGGTGATGTGTTGTTCGGGAGTGACGACGAAGAAAGCAAGTTGTGCAGCATCACGGCGTGGTCCATTGCTTCGGGCCACTGGTGGTTGGGTAGCCGCATGCCACGTAACAGTTTGCGCATGGTGTTCTGCAAAGTCCTGTTCATCCTTTCTGCTACACCCTGCTGTTGATGGGCGTAGGGAAGGGAGATGAGTCTCTTGATTCCTTTCTCCGCCAGATACTGCTTGAACCGCTGTGACGAGTATTCTCCTCCTCCGTCTGATTGGAAATTTTTGAGCTTAGCTCCCGATTCCCGTTCTGCTGCTGGAAGCCATGCCACGAAAGCCTCGAAAGCCATGTCGCGACTTGGTAAGTTTAGGTGCCAGACGTAACGTGTAGCGGCGTCGATGAAGGTGATGGTGTAGTTATACGCGTTTTGTCCGGGTTCGCGGTTGTACAAGATGTCGCTGTACACCTTTTCGAGTGGTGCATATGCAGGTGCGCTTGGGTTGTGATGCGAAACGAAGGGCTGATGCGGTAAGTCAGCTTCGGGGCAGGTGAAGCACGTTCCTCGAGCTCGCTGAAGTTCTCTGCCGTCGGTCAGTAAGAGTGAATCCTTGTCAAGTACTCCAGCTCTTATCGTGTTGTTTAATACTGTGTTGCTTGGGTGTCCCATTCTTGCGTGCCAGGTTTCTTCGTTGGCGCGGTGTCCTGGCGAGCGTCGGTACATGTCGGAGTTGGAGTAGAAGCCGGCGATGATGTTCGCGCTTCTGTGAACTTCCCGTGGTGCCGGGTTGAGCTGCTGCGCCGGTGTCGGCGGCGTCTCGTTGATGAAGGGCTGTGCCGTTGAGGGACCGGTGACTGGTGTTAATGTTTCTGCTGCTGCTGCTGTTGTCGGTGCTGCTGTCGATGTTGTTTCTCCTGTTCCTGATGTTGTCTGTTCCTGATATTGTCGCTAACGCCCTTGTTCTCTCTGTTTCAGAAATGGTGTGCGAGTACCAGAAACCGCTCGGACTGAAGTCTGGATCAAGATCTGGAGGATGTGTCCAGTTGGTGAAGTTTACGATGGCGTCGCTGTCGGCCGTGCCAAGATCGGGAACGAAGTCGAGAACGAAGACGTTGTTCTTGAGGACCGCCTTCCCGATGTAGAGACCTCCCCTTCCGTGGTACAGCTTGAACTCTTGAGTTGTGCTGTCTGCTTCAAGATGAATGCCTTTCGCCATCAACTGACTGACGCTCAGTAAGTTGTAGCCCAAGCCCTCTGCGATTAGGACCTTGGACATCTGCAGAATAACATTTGTCTCTCGTGACTGAAGTTGAACAACTCCTTGTCGTCGTGTGCGCAGGTTCTGATTGTTGGCGACGGTGATGACAACTTCCCGTTGAAGCTGGTACTCTCGCTGCACGAAGCGTCCTGAAGAACACATGTGTTGCCCGCAGCAACTGTCTAAGAACCACGTGTCCTTTCCGGATGGCTCGTTTTGGGCGATGGCTGCGTAGGTTGGATTCGGTTGAAGTGCTTCGCGGCGAGCTGTCATTTCATCGAGCTGTTCTTCTGGTGAGTAGTATGGTGGTGATTCCGTGACGCAAGAGTCACTCAGTCTTGCCATGCAGCTAACGATATTTCTTGTTTCTTGTGCAGGTTGTCCCGTTGAGGTCGTTGAAGCTTGAATTTGAGTCGTCGGGTTCGCCTGTGTTGACGCAACTTGATTGCTTGAAGGCCGTAGATGCCGCTGCGGAGTTGTTGACTGTTGACGGTTTGGGCAATGTGTGCGCGGGTGCCCTGAAGTCTTGCAGATGTGGCAGAAAGGAGGTACTGGCTTCGGTTGTTGCTGTCGATTGTTGTAGTTGTTGTGACGTCGTTGAGCGTGAAACACGAACTCTGATGTTGTCGTCTTCTTTCTGTGTCGTTCTTCTTGCAGGTCCATGTCCTGCTGCTCGGCGTGGATTTCGGCGCAGAGTGCTGCTTCAGAAATTCTGCCGTGGGCTCGGAGGATAGCTTTGGTGGCGCGCCATTGGGGACCGAGACCACCAATGATGACTGTCACGAAGGCGTCCTCGGAGATCGATCCTCCGCATCGAAGAAGCTTGTCGCGCAGTTCGCGACATCGGCTGATATACGTCATCCCCTTTTCTCCCGGTTTCATTTCAACTGTTGTTAACTGCGCCATTAACCTGCTTTGATTTACGCTGTCTGTTGCTTGATACAGGCTCTTCAGGTGGCTGTACGCGAGCTCAGCGGAGTTGCCGTAACCCCGGTAAGAGCGTATGTTCTGCTGCTGAGTTGGTGTGACGTTCCTCAGCAGAATCGTATACGCCATCATCGATTGATACGTATACTGCTGCTTCTCATACTGTGTGCCGTTTGCTGGATATTGCAGGGACCCGTCGAAGAAGCCGAGTATCTGCGCGCCTTCCATCATTAACTCAAACTCGAATGACCAAGTGAAGAAGTCCTTTCCGTCGAAAGGTCTTGATGTCTGCAGTTTTAGAACGTGCGCGAACTGTGATTGCACTTGTAACGCGTCCAGTGGCTTGTCTTGTGCAGGTGAAGATTGCGGCATGAAGCTGATCGACCCGCGCTCGTACGGGGCAAAGGTAGGTTGCTGCTGTTGGTTTCCGCGTGCATATGACGACCCGTCGAGGCTCATGGGTGTCGCTCCGTTGTTGTTGCTGTTGTGTGATTGTGCAGGTCCCGACTGCTGGTGCTGCTCGTAGAAGGACATGAAGGAGAAGAACTTCTCCATTATACTCGGGTCGAAGTTCGCGGGGTGATTTGCGGGAGTCTCAGTAGATGTCATTCTTGGTCTTGTTGCCGTGCCTTCCTCTGTCTGCAGGCCAGAGGCAGGAGGTGGAGTAGGAGTAGTGCCTGGGGAGCCGTTAGATGAGCTCCTTTCCTTGCTTGTTGCCATGTCTTGTAATGATTTGAAGGTAGTAGAGTTTCCCCTGTTTGCTCTCATACCATGTTGGGCTGAGATAGCCCCTTAGGATCTTTTCAAGGGAGAACTCTGGGTGGGATAGTGTTGTAATAGCGGAAGCGTTTAACAAAGTTTGTGAACCACCTTGCGCTGGTATATGAGGGCAAAGTAGATTAATTATAGCAAGGAAGTACAAGATTATATAATAATACAAGGAATATGAAAGGATGCAGTTTGTAACTACTTTATTGTTGCTGTTGCGGTTCGATACAGTACGACTCGGGCAACTGCTCTGTAACGAGTCAGTTGTGTGTCCTTAACTGTCGCGCTGTATTTGTCAGGTCAAAGGTCGCTTGACCTTTGACTTTCGCGTAACCTCCGGCAACTTCTCAACCTCCGAAGGTTGACTCGCGTTTGTTTCGATACAGCTTGCTTCGCTTCTGGTGCGATGTTTCGACACGACTGAAGCGCTTAAGATTCACTATTTCCAACACATTCTTCTTAGGAAAACATGTTACCAGCATGATGAGAGCAAGCCGCTTAGCACTAGACAAGTACAGCTCTACCAACTTGAACATAGGTGGAATTTTAGTTCCCTTCCCTTAACAGCTTGCACAAAATTGGAGATGAGATGAAGCAAAATACCCTTAGTCTTTCCTTATCACCAAGGCAGTTTCCACCAGCCAGCCCATAGCCATTGCCAGTGCCTCATCTGGGCCTACAATCCCCGTGTCTATGGTCAGCTTCGGTACCGAACCTGTGGGGTAGGTCCAGCAGCCGTTGTACCTATCAAGCAGTTCCTGCATGTCTTCCCAACAAGCAGGCTTGTGCCATCGCCCCTTCAAGCTACCTGCTGCCTGCTGCCTCTCACTCTCACTTTCACTTTTACTCTCACTCTCACTCCCTGTCTTCCTCTCACTCTCACTCTCCCCTCCTCTTTCCAGCACACTCGCATCATTGCCACAACTAGGTCTTTTCACGGAAGAATCCATCTCGCCTGCTCCTTGGGAACTCCCAGATATCGTCTCACGTGCACCTTGGGAATCCCGAAATCTGATCTCACGATCTCCTGGGGACCGGCAGATTCCTTTCTCGCCCCCAACACATGGCACGCTGGAGACAGACGGTCGGCAGCCTTCCGCACAGTTCTCGATGTTTTCTGACGGTTGACCGTCAGACAGCGCAGCCGCTGCGCGCGACTGGATCCTCCGCTTCCACGTGTCCAAATCCGACACGTGGCACTCGATTAAAGCAATCTTAGCTCCCACACGCGTACTTAGCGTCATGCCGGCTTTAAATAGCGCCTCGTGCGCTAAAGGACAATCGACGACCACGGATAAACCTAGATCTAGTTGCACCTCCGCCATCTGCCACATGGCATCGTATGATAGGCTGTTCAGCACACGTGCATCGACGGGAGCCGCGCCCGGTCCGTCCGGCCGTTCTAGAAGCATCGTCGCGTCGCGGAAGACGTCTTTGTCGACTAGCGGCCAGCGGAGGGATCGCGCGAGGCTTCGAGCGAGTGTGCTTTTACCGCTGCCTGGATGTCCCTTCATTAGAAGCAGGACCAGAGAATCTCGCTGGGGAGATGCAGCGGATACGAGAACGGAGGGAATGGCAGCCATTTTTAAGGGAAAAGATAAATAGATAGAAGGAAATCTTCCGAGTTTGCGTAGCGACGGAGTTACGGAGAAAGGTCTGCTATAGACTGGACTCCTCTAGAAAAAGACTGCGGCGGGACTGACGTTATCAGATTGTTGGCTGTCTGATCATGCTGCTGCACAACAGCAGGTCGAATCTCGGGTCTGTGAGAGGAAGTTCAACGGCCACGATTGCTTCCCCTTGGGATCATCCGAAAATGCTGTACCCATACAAAGCGTTAGCGCTATTTCAGTTTAAAAAGCTGACATTCACTAAGAAGTTGCAATTGAATGTACCTTTAGAGAGGCAAAGAATAACAAGATCCCATTTGAAGTGACTAAACATAGCCCCTTCCAGCACAATTTAAGCACTTTTGAATCCTGCATTTCCAAGCATAACCACAGCAGCGCCCACGGATAAATCACCAAGCCACAAGAACAAACGGGAAAAAGGGAACAGGAAAAGGTCAAATGGCAAAAAAAGGCTTGGAAAGAATGCACAGGCTGTGGTGTGAGGCTACACCATGCAAACCTCTCAAAAAGATGGTATCAGTGTGTTACATACTTGTTGCCTTTGCATGTGGGGCATATGCACGGCCGAGGCAGCACAGGGTCAGCGAGTGGGCTCCACTGGATCTTCCCCGCTGATCGACACAACTGACAAGGGTAAAACTTCTTGCCTTGGCACACGGTGCAAGGTGGGGCGGTCTTAGCCTACGTAGGGGAAAGGGAATTGGCGTTGAGGGATCAGGTTAATGGAAGGAGATGCAGAAGAAGCACAGAAGATACAAATACTTCCCCCAGGTTCGGCACAACTGACAAGCTAGAACCCCATCCTTGACACACAGTGCAGGCGAGCACAGCACTGAAGGAAGAAGGGGGGGGGATGGGCAGACGAGCTCATTCGTGGGTTTACAGCACAACACTGAACTCGCAACCCTCAGACAGCGCGACGACGTGGGAGAGGGGACGGGCGGGAGAGTAAGGGGAGTGAGCAGAACGGAGGAAGAAGGGGGAAGAGGGAAGGGGGAGGGAGGGATCAGCAATCTCACTCGTCGTTTTTCCAGCACTGCAGTAGCAGCCCTGAGGCAGAGCGACGACGTGACGGAAACTGCCACGAAGGCTCCTCCCATAATGCCGACAGTCCGCAGTAAAACGCGGTTCATGACCGCGAGTAGCTCGACAGAGAATTGAATTTCGCGTTAACGACCTTCTTTCGAAACAACTTTGGCTTCGGATTGATGACCCTGCTTTGAAACTACGACTAAACTACAACAGTCCGCTGTAACACGCAATTCATGACCCGAAGTGGCTCGACAAGATGTTACTATCAGGTCAACGATCGCCCCTTCCTAGAAATAGAGACGTCTCGAAGCTCAGTCCGCAGTAACATCCGGAGCAGAAACTACGAACTTTTTCGAGACTACTAGTAGGGGTAAAAAAGCTACCAATAGGCTTCATCAATGGCCCTTATTTCGAAATCAGTATACGAATTCGAAATCATCTATCCTTTTTCTCTCCCTCGCGTAATAGGTAACTCCCGGTTCTCGGCAATCCTAATACATTTCTCCTCATAAACTCTGCTGCTGCAGCGGCGGAGCAGGATGGCATAATCAGCCACCTAGTACAATACCTTCTGGAAAGATGTGAGCAGGGTTGGCGCTTGGTCAGAAGCCAACCTGGGGGAACGGAGGGGTGGTGTGGGGGGGTGGGTGGGGGGGGTGTTAGTTGTTGGGAGGGAGGGGAGATGTTTTCCAAACCTCATCCGAAGATCTTCCACGCCCTTCAAATTGTAGGCTACGCTTTGAATGGAGGTGTAATTTAACGGGTACAATTCCGTGACGGGCAATCTTCTAGATGACCCCGCATTATGAAGGTTCTAATGTCGGAGACAGAGTTATTTCGAGGTATTTTAATGACGTTGTTTGTCGAACATCAGACAAATCTTCCACACCCTTCAAAATTGTTACTATTATCTATTTAGCCTCCCAGAAGCACTTTACGGAAAAGTTTCTCATGTTTACGGATCAGGCACTGTGGTGTTTGCCGCGGAATCTAGTTAGGCCCCATAATGACGGTGGGCTATGATTAAAAAAGGTGGTGTAATATAGCGGGTACGAGTACGCGACGAGCAATCTTCTAAATGACCCCGTTATCGAGGTATACTTCCGAAAACCGAGCTAACGAGGTTTGTTATATAAGTAAATTCGGGGCCCGTGTCAGAAACAAGGCTAGACACGAAATTGAGGTTCGGAAACCCCAATGTGGTTAGTTTGTGAGGTGATTGAAAGTTCAGAAGAGGCAATTGGAGGCTAAGGGCTGATGTCTTGATGCCACGCAGGATACGAATGTACCCTAATTATCTCTTCCATGGATACCCACACTTAGTGACATTTTTGTGGATCAGGCACGGTGATGGTTGCAGCGCAATCACAGCCAGGCCTCATAATGAAGGTGGGCTATACTTCTAAAAAGAGGTGTATTTTAGCGGGTACAAGTACATGACGGGCATTCTTGTAAACGACTCTGTAATACGAAGGATCTTCCGTAAAGAACAAGGCTATACCGAGGTATTCTTATTAGGGTGTTTGTCAGAAGATTTGCCACACCCTTCCGAATGTTTCTATTATTTTTTTATCACACCACTCAGAATTTCACACTCACAGGAAATTCTAACATTCCCAATCTGAACGAAAATACAAACGAATTTCGTATCAGCTAGTTGCAAAAAGACTTTTTTCGACCCGACTGGGAGATTCCCCCTGGCTGTCCGTTAGTAATCCGGGCCTAGGGAAAAACCAACCCTGGAAATATCTGAGCTGAGGCTGAACGAATCCTCAATTATCAGGGTAAAGAGTTAAATGCCCGTGAATCGACAGGCCTGGGTCGAATTGGTGTTGCTGCTGACCCTTGTAAGATAATTGATAAGTATACACAAACAAGCATATACTACCAAAACGGTCGTAACCGTGCTTGAGGAACAGAAGGCTTCTGCTCCAGCTGAGTTTGAAGAGGGCCTTGGTACAGTGTACCTAGCCCTCGCAGCTATCTAGGGGGGTTTATACACCAAATGCCGAAATATTTCTACTTGCCCGCCACAAAAACCTTCTGTTCCATTGTCGCACTTCAGCCCTAGCAGAAACAGCTCGATACACCTCTCCTGTTGGTTCTGTCGCTTCATCAGCTTTGGTGGCTTGGCTCCTCCAAACCTGTCTTGCCGACCCTGGAGAGGTTGATATGCTACCCTGGTTCGATGTTGCCGAACAGGGTGACGAACGCGTCGCATCCCAGATGCAATCACTCGCGGCAGCTGCTTGAGTGGTGCGACGAGAGGTACCTCAACTGACTGAGGTAAAAATTCAGCATGGGGCTCGGTAGCAGCAGGTCTTGCCTTTCTTTGAGAGGGGTGGAGAGCGGTTTCAGCCGCAGCCGAGATCTGATGCCCACACCGAAGTTGCTCGGTTGGCGTAGCAGTGATACATCCTATCACGCGTGGTGCTGCTGCTGGTGTGCGTGCTCTGAACCTCTGTGTAGTGACCAAGGAGATTCCAGCTTGCTCGCGCGTGACCCGGTCATGACGCCATAGATTAATCTCATCGAGTTGCATGAAAACTTCTTGACGCTTTTCAACGTTAGAGTCCATCATGTATGTTTCCTTAAAATAATCGGTGTCTTCGACGGTAATCATTGCTGACTTCTGGTAATCCAGGGTAATAGCAGGGAAAATTTCTTATTCAGTTACTTCGGTAGCCATGGAAAAACCAAGTAATTCTTCACGATCCTCCAATGCGAGGTTCTCTGCTGCTTCTGATCCATCTCCTGACTCAAATCTGGAGTTATGCTTCATTATTCCCTGCCGTGACGAATTCAAAGAAACACAACCAGAAGCTCTTTGCAGAAGAAAGGTAGACTGATTCCGCTTGTAAGTCTCTGCTTTTGACTGACGCTGCATGAAAGAGAAGGCCGATAATCTGAATACGCTTCGTTGATTTGACTTTTTGTACAGATGCTTAGAACGATGATCTTCGCGTGTCTTTATTCCCTGATGCCATCTTGGGTGTCTTAAGCTTTGTATGCAGTTATAGAACTCAAAAAAGGGATACTGAAAAAGCAGCGTCGACGACCAAATGTTCGCTGTGTGAACACAATAATGGTGTCGATCTGAAGCTCTTGATGAGCAGTTCCCGAAAATGTGTTCTGAATCTGAAACTGATACAGATAAGCAAGACATTGCCTTAGATGTTAGTTTTGACGGGAGGCATGGCGGAGAGCTCATGACTGAGAGCCAAATCTGCAGTTGGCTGTTGGTGAGATTGATACTAACTGCTCCGCAGATTCGAGAATATTATTCGTGCTATTGATCTGTTGCTGCTGACCCACGAGAGTTTCAATTTCGTGTATGTTCGCATGGTGACCCAAGCGGGAGCACATAGCGGGGGATCGACGTACGCGAAACTGAAGCTGAAGAACGAAGATAAATGGTTACCCAGATCAGTCGATTTTTTTCCCGAGGAATCTTTTATTTTCGTTGTTCTCCTCGATATTACCATGTACCTCTTCTCTGGTTCTGTCCCCGCCTCGATGGTTGTTCGTTCGGTTGTGATGATTTACAAATTCATGTTCGCGATGTATCTTCTCTTTTGCAGCCGACTCACCACCAGGGCCTAAGTTATCAGGGCAATTACCCTGTTTTGACTGAAATTATAAGGTTTTTTTAACAGCAACCCTGATTTTCACAAGGTACTTCTCGGACCAGCCCGTAAAACTGAAGGGTGATTTTTGAGCCCACTCAGAAACTCCAGGATGTTTTCAAGGGGACCCGGATGTTTTAGAACACTTATCGTCCCCGACCTGCCTCGCATCCCCTCCCTCTCCCCGTGTACAACGCATAGGCCACTTTCAGTGAATTTTCCTTAGCATTCGCTCCTGGTTTGGCCTCCTGGTGTTTGACTTCCGGTACTACGTTGAGGTGGCTATTAGCACTCCTCCACGTATAAAAATTTCTAAGTATACAGAAAGTCTCTCTCCCCCCTCTAGCGTCGCTTTTTAATGGCCAACCTTCCCAGCCTTCGTAAAACTCACAGTGAGTCTCTCACCCACTGTGAGTTTTACGATCATAGCCCCATCCCGCGAGATTCTGGTAAGGTAGGCTTTCAGGCCTTTTCTGGCTCGAGCCCGGATTTGTGAAGGCTTTTTTCCCACTGGCTCGTAATTTACAGGGTCTTTTTCACAGGGGCCCGGATCGTCCGAGCTAGCAAAAATCCTAGCAATAGCCCTGCTCACCACCACCTAACACAAACTGATCATTGATCAGTCCCGTCGGAAAATGCAGGTACTTTTGGTACCTCAAAAACCTCCCGTTTCCTGCGCCGCCTTTCACGCCTAGATCCGAGTGAGAAAGGCATGACCCAGAACCTTTCCGTGAAAACCCTCCAAATTCGACACCGTTACGTACCGCTGGAAACCCAACCCCACCTATCCAGCGTACATATCAGCTGCGCTCGTCCTTCGACTGTCTCCGCGCGCTACCAATTCCCCGCGTCTTCCGTTCCTCGCGCTCAAAACCGCACCCCTTCACGAAAAGTAACTTCCAATTTGACTCAAAGCTCATCATCCTCCGTCTACCGCGCTCAGAACTCCGTTCACGCTGTGACGACGGCGGACGCTGCGACGGCGATTGCGATGTCGCTGCCGCGTCGCCCGCTGGGTCGCACGGGCTTAAACCTGTCGATCGTGAGCTTCGGCGCGTCGCCGTTGGGAAGCGTGTTCGAGGAGATCGACGAGGAGGAGGGTGTGCGGGCCGTGCACGAGGCGGTCAATCTCGGAATCAACCTGTTTGATGTCTCTCCGTACGTGTCCTTGCCCGTGTAATCCGTCTCAACCTAGTAACTGGTGTTGAGACGGATCAAGTGTGTCCGCTGGGGAGCGAGATCGACGAGGAGGAGGGCGTGCGAGCCGTGCACGAAGCAGTTAATCTCGGAATCAACCTGTTTGATGTCTCTCCGTACGTAGTTCGAGGGTCCTGCCTGAACATGCTTTTGGGTTGGTCTCTCCTTTGAGCTGCCGCCGCTGGGGAGCGTGTTCGAGGAAATCGACGATGAGGAAGGAGTCCGAGCCGTGCACGAAGCGGTGAATCTCGGAATCAACGTGTTTGATGTCTCTCCGTACGTCCCCGTTGGAATAGTTTCACAAACTTGGCCGAGACGATGCTAGGGCGGGCAATCGCCACATTACCTTGCCCGCGGGAGGACGTGACGTGGTGATCGCCACCAAGGTGGGGCGGTATGGGCAGGATGGGTTCGAGTTCACTGCTTGCACCCCCCTCTCCTCCCTGCCTGCAGGTTCTACGGCTCCACACGAGCGGAAACCGTTTTGGGGCGGGCCATCGCCACATTACCTTGCCCGCGGGAAGACGTGGTGATCGCCACCAAGGTGGGGCGGTATGGGCAAGATGGGATGGACTCGATTCCACTACTTCCCTCCACTCCGCCCTCTTCCTGCAGATTTTATGGGTCAGTTCGGGCCGAGACGGTGCTTGGGCGAGCCATCGCCACGCTGCCGTGCCCACGGGAGGATGTAGTGATTGCTACGGTCAGGACGAGTTCGGGTTCAGTGCTTCCCTTTCTCTCCTCCTCAAGGTGGGGCGGTATGGGCAGGACGAATTCGAATTCACTGCTTGCTGTCCCTCCTCCTCCTCTTTCTCCCCTCACTCGTCTCCGCCTGTCCAGGTTCTATGGGTCTACTCGGGCTGAGACGGTACTTGGTAGGGCCATCGCCACATTACCCTGCCCGCGGGAGGATGTAGTGATTGCCACCAAGGTGGGGCGGTATGGGCAGGACGAATTCGACTTCAGTGCGGGTCGGATCAAAAGGAGTGTGGAGGAGAGCTGTGCGCGCCTGCAGACGCCCTACGTGGATATCGTGCAGTGCCACGACATCGAGTTTGGGTCTCTGGATCAGGTAAGGGCGAAGGGGGAGGGGAAGGGTGTGTCTGGTTGCAACCAAGGTGGGGCGGTACGGGCAGGACGAGTTCGACTTCAGTGCGGATCGGGTTAGAAGGAGCGTGGAGGAGAGCTGTCAACGTTTACATACTCCTTATGTGGACATCGTGCGAGTTTGACTTCAGTGCGGATCGGGTCAAAAGGAGCGTGGAGGAGAGCTGTGCGCGCCTGCAGACGCCTTACGTGGTCATTGTTCAATGCCACGACATCGAATTCGGATCCTTGGATCAGGTAAGGGCGAAGGGGGAGGGGAAGGGTGTGTCTGGTTGCTTGCCACCAAGGTGGGGCGGTACGGGCAGGACGAGTTTGACTTCAGTGCGGATCGGGTTAGAAGGAGCGTGGAGGAGAGCTGTGCGCGGCTGCAGATGCCCTACGTGGGTATGGTTCAATTCCACGACATTCAATCCGGGTCTCTGGATCAGGTGAGAGGGGAAGGCAAAGGGTTGATCGTCAGAGCTGGTGGATGGAGCTGCAGATGCCCTACGTGGGTATGGTTCAGTGCCATGACATTGAATTCGGGTCTCTGGATCAAATGAGAGATAGACACGGGTGTGCTTTAGCATTTGAGCAGTATGAGGCTGCAAGCAAGCGCCTTACCATTGCAGTGCAGTGCGGTGCAGTGCAGTGTGGTGCGGTGCAGTGCGGTGCAGTGTAGTGGGGTGCAGTGCTGTGCTGCATAGAGCGGCACAGTAAAGAGAGACTGTCTTCTCCAGCTGCCATCTTTCCCCCTCCCATGTCACCTCCAATTTTGATCCCGTGTCTTTCCCTTCCAAAAAACTAATTTCCGTCCCGCTACCATCTCTTCCCTCCCTTCCTCCTTCCTCCCCACTCCCCACTTCTGCGTCTTTTGAGATGTCTCAAATCGCCTCCAGTTTTGAGCCCGTGTCTTTTCCTTCCAGAAAACTCATTTCCGCCCCGCTACCATCCCTTCCCTCCCTTCCTTCTTCTTCTAGTTTTGACCCGCCTCAAAACTTCTAGTTTTGAGGCGCCTCAAAACCTGTTTTGAGCCCGTGTCTTTTCCTTCTGAATGAGACAATCCCTGCCCTCCAGGAGCTGAAAGCGGCCGGCAGGATCCGATTCATCGGCATCACGGGCCTCCCTCTCTCCGTCTACCGCTCCGTTCTTCCCCGCCTCTCTCAATTTCATCCTCTCCCTACTGCTTCCCAGTTCATCAACTCCCATGTTCTCATGAACTCATTTTCCTCCCGGTAATATTTCTCCCTCCCCTCCCACCCAATCCCATCAACCCTCCCGTTCCCAGATCGTGAATGAGACAATCCCGGAGCCCGTGTCTTTCCCTTCTGAAAAACTCATTTCCGCCCCGCTACCATCTCTCCCCTCCCTTCCTCCTTCCTCCCCTCTCCCCCCTGCCCCATCCCCAGATCGTGAATGAGACAATTCCTGCCCTCCAGGAGCTGAAAGCGGCCGGCAAGATCCGATTCATCGGCATCACGGGCCTCCCTCTCTCTGTCTACCGATCCGTTCTCCCCCGCGTGCCTTCCTCCCGCCTCTCTTGATCTCATCCTCTCCTACTGGTTCTCAGTTAATCAACCCCCATCTTCTCAGAAACTCATTTCCCTCCCGGTACCATCTCTCCCCCACCCTCCCGCCCCATCCCAACAATCCCTCTCATTCCCAGATCGTGAATGAGACAATCCCGGCCCTCCAGGAGCTGAAAGCGGCCGGCAAGATCCGATTCATCGGCATCACGGGCCTCCCTCTTTCCGTCTACCGCTCCGTTCTTCCCCGCCTGCTGCCTGGCTCGCTCGATCTCATCCTCTCCTACTGCCACTACTCCCTCAACGACACAACACTTGAGCCGCTGCTGCCGTGGCTGCAGCAGCAGGGCGTGGGGGTCATCAGCGCGTCTCCATTCTCTATGGGCCTTCTAACCCCCCAGGGGCCTCCCTCCTGGCACCCCGCCCCCCAGCCACTCAAGGTGAGTGGGTCTCTGTGTGTCTGGACGTAGCTCTCTCTATCCTACCCCTCCTAGCCGCTGCTGCCAGGGCGTGGGGGTCATCAGCGCGTCTCCATTCTCCATGGGTCTCCTCCTCACCTCACCTCCCAGGGACCTCCTTCCTGGCACCCCGCACCCCAGCCACTCAAGGTATGCCACCCCTCTCCTCTCCTAGCTGCTGTCTTTCTTTGTGGGTCTTTCTTCCTGGCTGCAGCAGCAGGGCCTCTATCAATGGGTCTCCTCACTCCCCAGGGCCCACCTTCCTGGCACCCTGCCCCACAGCCACTCAAGGTATGCCACTCCTCTCCTAGCTGCTGTCTTTCTTTGTGGGTCTTTCTTCGTGGCTGCAGCAGCAGGGCGTGGGGGTGGTCAGCGCGTCCCCTTTCTCCATGGGCCTACTCACCCCCCAGGGATCTCCCTCCTGGCACCCCGCCCCTCAACCACTCAAGGCATGCCACCTCCCATCTCCTAGCTGCTGTCTTTCTTTGTGGGTCTTTCTTCGTGGCTGCAGCAGCAGGGCGTGGGGGTGATCAGCGCGTCTCCATTCTCCATCGGACTTCTCACCCCCCAGGGCCCTCCCTCCTGGCACCCCGCACCACAACCACTCAAGGTATGCTACCCCCCCAGCCCTCTCCTAGCTGCTGTCTTTCTTCCTGGCTGCAGCAGCAGGGCGTGGGGGTGATCAGCGCGTCTCCTTTCTCCATGGGCCTTCTCAATCCCCAGGGGCCTCCCTCCTGGCACCCCGCACCACAACCACTCAAGGTGTGTATATCCTACTGTCACTACTTCATCAACGACAGCAGCAGGGCGTGGGGGTCGTCAGCGCGTCTCCCTTCTCCATGGGCCTGCTCACTCCCCAGGGCCCCCCGTCCTGGCACCCCGCACCGCAGCCACTCAAGGTATGTCACCCCTCTACTAACTGCTCTCGCTGCTGGCGTGGCTGCAGCAGCAGGGCGTGGGGGTGATCAGCGCGACTCCATTCTCCATGGGCCTGCTCACTCCCAGGGTTTTTTAGAATTCTCAAAAGCCAGGACTGCCTTGCTGGCATCCTGCCCCACAACCCCTCAAGGTTGGTTTAGGTGTCTGGGTCCAGCCCTATTCCACATCTCCCCGCCGCTGCTGCCGTGGCTGCAGCAGCAGGGCGTGGGGGTCATCAGCACTACATTCACTATGTGACTTTTGAGCCGACTCAAGAGTCTCTATGTCTTCGTATTGTACCATGGTTACTCCTTGTACTACATTCGCTGCTCTCAAAACCCAATTATCAGCTCTTGCGTTTTCCCACTGTCTCTCCTGCTGTCATGCGCTGCCTCTAACCATCAGGATGCATGCAAGGCGGAGGCACTTGCCTGTCAGCAGCGGGGAGCATCACTCCTGGCTTCCACTTTCCACAGCTCTCAACCCATCTGGACCCATCTTTTCCTCCCGTCACCATCAGGATGCATGCAAGGCGGCCGCTCTTGCCTGTGAACAGCGGGGGCGTCTTTGCCCCGACTGGCCCTCCAGTTCGCAACGATCAACCCTGCCATCAGCTTTAAGTTCAATCACCTTTTTGTCCTGTCCCACTGCCTTTCCCTGCTGTCCTTTCCAATTATCGCGGCCACGTTCAACCATCAGGATGCGTGCAAGGCAGCGGCTCTTGCCTGTGAGCAGAAGGGAGCATCACTCCGGGCTTCTACTTTCCACTGCTCTCAACCCATCTGGATCTATCTTTCCACCTCGTCACCAGGATGCATGCAAGGCAGCGGCTCTCGCCTGTGAGCAGCGGGGAGCTTCTTTGCCCCGATTGGCACTCCAGTTTGCACCTCTCTCAACCCACCTGGACCCATCTTTTCCTGCATCTCGCCATCAGGATGCATGCAAGGCAGCGGCTCTCGCCTGTGAGCAGCGGGGAGCATCGCTGCCCCGACTGGCCCTCCAGTTTGCAACGATCAACCCAGCCATCACAACCACGCTTGTCGGCATGTGCACGGTGCAGCAGGTGAGGGCCGGGTGCAGCAGGTGAGGGAAGAGAGGCATGTGTGAAGGTGAGGGTTGTTGTGTGAGTAGCAAAGGTGCCGTGTTGTGTGCAGCAGCAGGGAGTCTGATCGACACTCCAGTTTGCAACGCTCAACCCAGCCATCACAACCACGCTTGTCAGCATGTGCACGGTGCAGCAGGTGAGGGCCGGGTGCAGCAGGTGAGGGAAGAGAGGCATGTGTGAAGGTGAGGGTTGTTGTGTGAGTAGCAAAGGTGCCGTGTTGTGTGCAGCAGCAGGGAGTCTGATCGACACTCCAGTTTGCAACGCTCAACCCAGCCATCACAACCACGCTTGTCGGCATGTGCACGGTGCAGCAGGTGAGGGCCGGGTGCAGCAGGTGAGGGAAGAGAGGCATGTGTGAAGGTGAGGGTTGTTGTGTGAGTAGCAAAGGTGCCGTGTTGTGTGCAGCAGCAGGGAGTCTGATCGACACTCCAGTTTGCAACGCTCAACCCAGCCATCACAACCACGCTTGTCGGCATGTGCACGGTGCAGCAGGTGAGGGCCGGGTGCAGCAGGTGAGGGAAGAGAGGCATGTGTGAAGGTGAGGGTTGTTGTGTGAGTAGCAAAGGTGCCGTGTTGTGTGCAGCAGCAGGGAGTCTGATCGACACTCCAGTTTGCAACGCTCAACCCAGCCATCACAACCACGCTTGTCGGCATGTGCACGGTGCAGCAGGTGAGGGCCGGGTGCAGCAGGTGAGGGAAGAGAGGCATGTGTGAAGGTGAGGGTTGTTGTGTGAGTAGCAAAGGTGCCGTGTTGTGTGCAGCAGCAGGGAGTCTGATCGACACTCCAGTTTGCAACGCTCAACCCAGCCATCACAACCACGCTTGTCGGCATGTGCACGGTGCAGCAGGTGAGGGCTGGGTGCAGCAGGTGAGGGCCGGGTGCAGCAGGTGAGGGCCGGGTGCAGCAGGTGAGGGCCGGGTGCAGCAGGTGAGGGCCGGGTGCAGCAGGTGAGGGGACAGAAGCATTTGTGAAGGTGAAGATTGTTGTGTGAGTAGCAAAGGTGCCGTGTTGTGTGCAGCAGCAGGGAGTTTGATCGACCGGACTGGCCCTCCAGTTTGCACGCTTGTGGGCATGTGCACAGCGCAGCAGGTGAGGGAGGAAAAATTCGGAGTATGGTTTAGTGAGCGGCTGCATAGTAACTGGGAGACTGATGCCCACCAGTTTGCAACGATCAACCCAGCCATCACCACAACGCTTGTGGGCATGTGCACAGTGCAGCAGGTGAGGGAGGAAGCGTTCAAAGGTGGATGTAAGGGTACATATGGTGTGGGGTTGTGTGTAGCAGCAGGGAGGCTGCTGGTTGCCCCAACAGGCTCTCCTGTTTGCAGCACTCAACCCAGCAATCACCACCACGCTTGTGGGCATGTGCACGGTGCAGCAGGTGAGGGAGAAGGCACTTTAGGTGGTTGTGCAGTGCACTGGAAGAGAAAGTGTGGTGTGTGCAGCAGGTGAGGGGACCATTGTGTGAGCAGCGTAGCAAGTGTGTGCATAGAAGCAGGGAGGCTGCTGGTTGCCCCAACTGGCTCTCCAGTTCGCAACTCTCAACCCAGCAATCACCACCACGCTTGTGGGCATGTGCACGGTGCAACAGGTGAGGACCCAGAAGCATTTGTGAAGGTGAAGATTGTTGTGTGAGTAGCAAAGGTGCCGTGTTGTGTGCTGCAGCAGGGAGTTTGATCGACCGGACTGGCCCTCCAGTTTGCACGCTTGTGGGCATGTGCACAGCGCAGCAGGTGAGGGAGGAAAAATTCGGAGTGTGGTTTAGTGAGCGGCTGCATAGTAACTGGGAGACTGATGCCCTTCAGTTTGCAACGATCAACCCAGCCATCACCACCACGCTTGTGGGCATGTGCATGGTGCAGCAGGTGAGGGAAGGAGGGTTCAAAGTCTGTTGTGTGAGCAGAGTAGCAACTGTGTGGATAGAAGCAGGGAGGCTGCTGGTTGCCCCGACTGGCTCTCCTGCTTGCAACACTCAACCCAGCCATCACCACCACGCTTGTGGGCATGTGCACAGTGCAGCAGGTGAGGGGAGAGATGTTGGGGTGTTTCTGTGTGAGCAGGGTAGCCACCATGTGCATAGCAGTAGGGAGACTGAGTACCCTGGTTGGCGCTCCAGTTTGCAACACTCAACCCTGCCATCACGACAACGCTTGTGGGCACGTGCACGGTGCAGCAGGTGAGGGCTGCAGGGTAGCAGGTGAGGAGGGAAGCGTTCGAAGGTGGCTGTGAGGGTAGATATGGTGTGGTGTTGTGTGCAGCAGCAGGCTCCAGCGAGAGCGACTGTTCTGGCTGGCTCTTCAGTCTGCAACACTCAACCCAGCCATCGCCACGACGCTTGTGGGCATGTGTACAGTGCAGCAGGTGAGGGAGGAAGCGTTCAAAGGTGGATGTAAGGGTATATATGGTGTGGTGTTGTGTGTAGCAACAGGGAGGCTGATTGCCCCGACTGGCTCTGCAGTTCGCAATGATCAACCCAGCCATCACGACTACGCTTGTGGGCATGTGCACGGTGCAGTAGGTGAGGGCGCAGAATCGTTCTAAGGTGGCTGTAAGGGTAAGTAAGATGAGATGATGTGTGTAGCAGCATGGGGCGTATTTGCCCTGGCTGGCTCTTCAGTTTCAATGATCAACCCTGCCATCACGACCACGCTTGTGGGCATGTGCACGGTGCGGCAGGTGAGGGGACAAGGATCTAAAAGCTGTGCGTGTGGCAATGGTGTTGCAGTGTGTGTAGCAGCAGGAAGGGCAATGAAAACAAATGTGTTTTGGGACGTCTCAAAACATATTAATTTGCAGGTGAGGGGAAAAGAATTGCAAAGTTGTGTGTGTGGCAAAGGTGTTGCGGTGTGTGCAACAGCAAAAAGACTGAGGTCACCGTTGTGTGCTGTGCAGGTGCGGGAGAACGTGGCAGCAGCGATTGATGCCGCAGAGAGAGGCAGCAGAGCTAGCGAGGCAGCAGAGCGAGGCCCCGATCTAATCATGCTGAAAGCTTTTCTATGTGAAGTGCAATATGGTGTGAACTCTAAGATGAATGACACGACGCCATGAGTGCAGGTGAAGGGGAATATGGTGTAGCAGAGAGACGTGCTGACGAGGCGATGCTGAAAGAAAGTGGATAGTGTTTATCTGGTGTAATACAGAAGCACCCTATAACCCTTCTGTGTGCAGGTGCGGGAGAACGTGTCAGCAGCGATTGAAGCAGCAGAGCGAGGCATTGACGAGGCGATGCTACAATGAAGTATATTTACGTGAAGTGCTGTGGGGATACAAAAAATAAAGCTGTTCACCCCTCCCTCCACTGTGATGTGCAGGTGCGGGAGAATGTGGCAGCAGCGATCGAAGCAGCAGAGAGAGGCATTGACGAGGCGATGCTGAAAGAAGTGGAAGGAATTCTGGCGCCTTATAAGGACACTACATGGGCCAGTGGTCGCCCTGAGAACAATTGATCAAGTGGCATGGTGCGGCATTAATGAGGCAGCAGAGCGAGGCATTGACGAGGCGATGCTGAAAGAAGTGGAAGGAATTCTGGCGCCTTATAAGGACATCACGTGGGCCAGCGGTCGCCCTTAGAACAACTGATGGCAGCACGTTATTTGTGTTAGGCATCACACCAAGCAGCAGATCGACTCATTGATGAGGGGATGCTGAAAGAAGTGGAGGCTATTCTGGCGCCTCATAAGAACACCACATGGCCCAGTGGTCGGCCTGAGAACAACTGATCACATGGCATGGCATGGCATGGCATGGCTGTAAGCTCAAGCTATTTTTGGGCCTCTTAAGAACGTGGCCCAGTGGCCGCCCTGAGAACAACTGATCACATGGCATGGCATGGCATGGCATGGCTGTAAGCTCAAGCTATTTTTGGGCCTCTTAAGAACGTGGCCCAGTGACCGCCCTGAGAACAACTGATCACATGGCATGGCATGGCATGGCATGGCTGTCAGCTCAAGCTATTGTTGGGCCTCTTAAGAATGTGGCCCAGTGGCCGCCCTGAGAACAACTGATCACATGGCACTGCTCTGAGTCTCTGAGTCATTTGTGGGCCTATTCAAGAACATGGCCTAGTAGCCGCCTTGACGTTGGTTAAGCATTTTTGGTGCAAGCATTTGGGCAATGGTGTGTGTTTTTTATTAGTACTATTATTATTCTAGCTTTTTTGTTTTAATTTGAACAGCAAGGGAACTTGCTTGAAGCGCAGTGTAATAGGCATAGTCTGGGAAAGAATGTATTAGTCCTGGAACGCCTCTACACGTGTATTGTCGCACGCAGAAGCGCGTATATCTGTCGAAAGGACGGTCGATACTCATAATTCTAGCCGTTTTTATCTTGGCACAAACCTCGTGGCGGCTTGTTGGTTCAACCATTCCGCGTCGCCTATCTTTGTTGCGGGATTACGACTTACATTCCGTTTCTGCATTGCACGTAGCAGTTAGAACGCGACGCGAGTACTAGCCATCGTGAAGGCGTTTGCTCAGGGGTCCAACACAGCTCACATTTGAGGCGCCTCAAAAGTCCAACACAGCTCACACGCCTGAATAACGACACGTGTATCGTGAATTTGTGGAAATTGTTTCTCGAAATCGCGAGTCCCAGTTCTAAAGAGGCGGGATATACCGGCAGCTTAGTCAAGTTACGCAAAGAAGTTTCCTCGAAGCAACTATGCCGAAGAACAAGAAACAGAAGAAGAGAAAAGCCACCCCGCCGAACCAAGACGGATCAACGGTCACGAAACAAGACTCAGCAACAGGGACGAAATCTGGAACGCTGGTATCGCACCCTCCCGCTAAGAGGGCCAAGGGCGAGGCCACAGGGTTTAGCCGGGGAGAGGGTTTCGGGTCTAAACGGAAGCAAGGTTTATCTGGGGAAGGTACGTTACAATTAGGGCAAGCCGGAAAAGGTGTACCTGGGAAAGGTGCATTACAATCAGGTCAAGCTAGTCAATCAATTCAGTTAGGTGTACACGGGGGATGTACATCTGCTCAGGTAGACCCGATTGGCCAGAGTCTACGAGATGTGGTTACAGGAACAGGTGCAGCAGCGCAAGTTGCAGAAAACGACAAAAAGAAGGGGCGGCGCAGGAAAGTTAAAGCAGGTGCGGCAGGGAGGGGTGCTGGTGCGAGTGCTGCCAAAAGCACAAGTGTGGTTGCTGGTGCGAATGCTGCCAAAAACTCGAGAAGAAGCAGCAGCAGCAGCCCTGGCGGAGGAGTGGAAGGAATGGGAGGAGCTGGAGGAGTAGGAGGAGGAGGAGGGAGCAGTGGCAGCAAAGCAGGACCAAAAGTGGGGCTTGGAAGAGGGGGCAGCAGCAGCGGCAGCAAGAAACTCAGCCTGCTAGACAAGGTGGGTGTTTGACAAGGCAGCAGCAAGGTGTCAAGTCAATCGCGGGTTCTGGGAGTGTGACATTCCGGTTTCAAGGAGTGGTGGGGTCGTTCAGGGTTCAGGGGTTTCGGAGGTTAAGGGGTTGGGGGGGCGTGAGGGGTTTAGGCTATAAATAAGTTTGTGTTGCATGGCAGTGGAAACGGGTCACTTTTGATCAATGGGCATGATACTGTGCAGACGTGTTGTGTTTTTTCTCCATCCCTCCCACCCATCATTTCATATCACATCAGATGAAGGCACGCCTAGCTGGCAGTTGCTTGCGATTACGCAATGAGATGACTTTTGAGTCGACTCAAAAGACGCTCTACAACTCGCATCGGGACAAGTTGGCGTGTACTGAATGCACACTCGTGTGCTTCTTTATTTCGCCCTCCTTTCCGTCCTTCCCTCCTCTCCCTCCCAACCCATCATCGACCATATCAAATGAAGGCGCGCCTAGCTGGCTGTCATTCCCGATCACTCAACAAGAGCCTTGACTAATGTCAGCCTTGACGCCCTCTCCACCTCGGATGGAGACAAGGCGACTTGCGTTGCATGCAGAATCGCGTGCGTACGAGATTCTTTCCCCCTCCCTCCCCGCCCTCCCCTTTCATCGCCAACCATATCATATCTGATGAAGGCTCGTCTAGCTGGCGGTCGCTTCCGATCCCTAAACGAGACCCTCTACACCTCGGATGGAGACAAATCGACTTGCGTTGCATGCAGACTCGCGTGCGCTCGAGATTCTTTCCCCCTCCCTTCCCCTCTTCTCCCCTACCATCATATCACATCAGATGAAGGCGCGCCTAGCTGGTGGTCGCTTCCTATCACTCATACGAGCTGGTTTTTTAGAATTCTCGGAAACCTCTCCACCTTGGATGGAGGAGACAAGGCGACTTGAGATGCATGCAGACTCGCGTGCGCTCGAGATTCTTTCCCCCTCCCTTCCCCTCTTCTCCCCTACCATCATATCACATCAGATGAAGGCGCGCCTAGCTGGTGGTCGCTTCCTATCACTCATACGAGCTGGTTTTTTAGAATTCTCGGAAACCTCTCCACCTTGGATGGAGGAGACAAGGCGACTTGAGATGCATGCAGACTCGCGTGCGCTCGAGATTCTTTCCCCCTCCCTTCCCCTCTTCTCCCCTACCATCATATCACATCAGATGAAGGCGCGCCTAGCTGGTGGTCGCTTCCTATCACTCATACGAGCTGGTTTTTTAGAATTCTCGGAAACCTCTCCACCTTGGATGGAGGAGACAAGGCGACTTGAGATGCATGCAGACTCGCATGCGCTCGAGATTCTTTCCCCCTCCCTTCCCCTCTTCTCCCCTACCATCATATCACATCAGATGAAGGCGCGCCTAGCTGGTGGTCGCTTCCTATCACTCATACGAGCTGGTTTTTTAGAATTCTCGGAAACCTCTCCACCTTGGATGGAGGAGACAAGGCGACTTGAGATGCATGCAGACTCGTGTGCGCTCGAGATTCTTTCCCCCTCCCTTCCCCTCTTCTCCCCTACCATCATATCACATCAGATGAAGGCGCGCCTAGCTGGTGGTCGCTTCCTATCACTCGTACGAGCTGGTTTTTTAGAATTCTCGGAAACCTCTCCACCTTGGATGGAGGAGACAAGGCGACTTGAGATGCATGCAGACTCGCGTGCGCTCGAGATTCTTTCCACCTCCCTTCCCCTCTTCTCCCCTACCATCATATCACATCAGATGAAGGCGCGCCTAGCTGGTGGTCGCTTCCTATCACTCGTACGAGCTGGTTTTTTAGAATTCTCGGAAACCTCTCCACCTTGGATGGAGGAGACAAGGCGACTTGAGATGCATGCAGACTCGCGTGCGCTCGAGATTCTTTCCACCTCCCTTCCCCTCTTCTCCCCTACCATCATATCACATCAGATGAAGGCGCGCCTAGCTGGTGGTCGCTTCCTATCACTCGTACGAGCTGTTTTTTTAGAATTCTCGGAAACCTCTCCACCTTGGATGGAGGAGACAAGGCGACTTGAGATGCATGCAGACTCGCGTGCGCTCGAGATTCTTTCCACCTCCCCTCCGCTCCCTTCCCATCATATCATGTCATGACACATCAGATGAAGGCGCGCCTAGCTAGCGGTCGCTCCCTATCACTCAATGAGGCGCTTTATACCTCGCATGGGGACCAGGCGACGGGTACCAAATGCAGACCTGTCTGCTTGTTTCCCCCTCCCCTCCCCTCCCCTCCCCTCCCCTCCCCTCCCCTCCCCTCCCCTCCCCTCCCCTCCCCTCCCCTCCCCTCCCCTCCCCTCCCGTCCCCTCCCCTCCCCTCCCTCCCTCCCCTCCCCTCCCCTCCCGTCCCCTCCACTCCCGTCCCGTCCCCTCCCCTCCCCTCCCCTCCCCTCCCCTCCCCTCCCGTCCCCTCCCCTCCCCTCCCGTCCCCTCCCCTTCCCTCCCGTCCCCTCCCCTCCTGTCCCCTCTCGTCACCGATCACATCAGATGAAGGCACGCCTGGCTGGCGGTCGCTTCCGATCGCTAAACGAGGCCCTTTACACGTCAGATGGGGACAAAGCGTTTCAGATGTTTTCTGAAGATCCAAACGCGTTCGCACAGGTGAGGGGGAGTGGGATGCGGTGAAGGAAGATTGTGAGGAGTGATTGAGGTCCTAGGTTGTATGAGATGCACGCTTTACACCTCGGATGGAGATAAGGCGTTTCAGATGTTCTCAGAGGACCCTTACGCGTTTGCACAGGTTGGGCGGGATTGGATGCGGTGAAGAGGGGTTCTGAGGAGTGAATGCAGGTCAATGACAGACTCTACACCTCCGATGGAGATAAGGCGTTTTAGATGTTCTCTAAAGATCCAAACGCGTTTGCGCAGGTGAGGTGGATGGTTGTGTGGAGATGGGTTTCAACGCGGTGAAGAGGTATTTAGCTGGATGAGCTAGCAAGTCAATACTTGTTTGTTGTTTTGTGTTTGCCTTTCTAGTAGCATCTCGTACAAGGACTCATCTGTCTCATCTCCCCTCCCAACCCATTCCCACCCTACTCCTCCCCACCCCAACCCATCCCAACCCACTGCTTCCAATCACCACGCACCCACCAGTACCACGAGGGATATCGGGAGCAGGTGGCATCCTGGCCAATCAACCCCGTTTCACCACATTCCATCCCTTTCAACCCCACATATTCCATCAATCCATGCACACATGAACAGTACCACGAGGGCTATCGGGAGCAGGTGGCATCCTGGCCAATCAACCCCCTCCACGTCATCATTGACTGGATCCGCCAGCGCCCAGCCACCCTCACAGTCGTGGATTTTGGCTGCGGTAAGCCCGTTGACTCTCGTTGACCTGTGTTTACCTGCATTTCCCTTTGACTGGCACCGCTTTTTAGAACCCAAGCTAGCAGCAGGCATCTAGTCACCACCACCACCTCTAGTGGGCCATGGCTTGCACACTATCAATCTGTCACATGCTGCAGAATTTCAGGTCCCAAAACTGTAGTTTTTTTAAATATACAGATATAATGTTTCAAAGTGCAGTCGCACGTATATCGAACTTCTTCCTCCTTTTCCATGCATCCATGAATCCGCACCGCACAAACCCAACAGGCGAGGCGAAGCTAGCTGCAAGTGTGCCAAACAAAGTGACCTCCTTAGACCTGGTGGCTGCTGCTCCTGGTGTGATCGCATGCAACATGGCGCATGTGAGTATGCGGCATGTGGTGTGTGTGACTAAAAGCACAGTCTGACCGTAAGCATGTGTGACTTAAAAGAAGGACACAGAGTGACCTCCTTAGACCTGGTGGCTGCTGCTCCCCATGTGATCGCATGCAACATGGCGAGTGCTTGTGAGTAGAGGCATGGATGGTGTGTAAGCATGGTGTCTGATTGTCTGTAACCAGGGAGCACGTGAGCAGCCAGTTTGTGATACAAAGTGGTCTCCTTAGACCTGGTGGCCGCTGCTCCTGGTGTGATCGCATGCAACATGGCGCATGTGAGTATGGGCGTAGATGGTGTGTGTGTAATGTAACTCTAGCCATGTGCCCTCCACAAGGTGGTCTCGTCAGACCTGGTGGCTGCTGCTCCTGGTGTGATCGCATGCAACATGGCGCATGTGAGTATGAGGCATGTGGTGTGTGTGTGACTAAACGCACGGTCTGACCGTAAGCATGTGTGACTTAAAAGAAGGACACAGAGTGACCTCCTTACACCTGGTGGCTGCTGCTCCTGGTGTGATCGCATGCAACATGGCGGGCGCTTGTGAGTAGGAAAGAGCGTGGCGTGTGTGTGACTACAACCAAACACCATGTGTGTGTGACTATAACCAAACACCATTTGTGTGTGACTATAACCAAACACCATGCGCGAGTGACGATAAGCATGACGATAACCAAACATCAATGGCTGCTGCTCTGCTCGCAGTATGAATCAGTCTGTAACCATGTACATCTATTCCGTGTGTGTGCTCCCCATGCCCCCATGCCTCCATGCCCCCATGCCCCAGACCCCCCTACCAGACGCCTCAGTCAACATAGCAGTCTTCTGCCTCTCTCTAATGGGCGCTGACTATCCCTCCTTCCTCTCTGAAGCTCACCGCGTGTTGCAGCCAGGGTAAGCCTGCCTCTGCTACAGTACAGTGCGGTATGGTAGGGTACAGTACAGTATCTCATCCCATCCACCCCACTTGATTCATTGTTAAAATCAGAAGCTGGTTCAGTCCGCTGGCCCGACCGACCACACAATGACTTTTGATACGGCAAAAGTGGTTTCCCCTCTCCTTCTCCTTCCTCGTCCCATCCACCCCATTGATAAGATCAGAAGCTGGTTCGATCCGCCGGCCCGACCGACCGGCCACACAATGACTTTTGGTTCGACTCAAAAAGTGGTTTCTTCTCTCCTTCCCTCCAATCCCATCGATCCGTAGGGGTTCTTTAATAATAGCCGAGGTCAGGAGCCGGTTCGACCCAACGACAGGGGGCGCGGAGCTGAAGGACTTTGTTGGTGCACTCAAGCAACTAGGGTTCCGCCTTGTCTCCAAGGTATTTTTGTAGACTGTTGGGTTGTGGTTGTGAGTAGTGTTGGTCTGCATTGCACAGGAGGGGCTGCACCGTACCAGCCTTACCCGCAGGAGGGGCGGAGCTGAATGCTTTTTTGCCACACTTGAATTCCTAGGGTTCCACCTCATCTCCGAGGTAAAGTAGAGCCATGGGATGGGGCAGTGCCTGCTGGGGTATGTCACATCATCATACTCACACGCAGGCCAGCCACAGGGGGGGCGGGGCTGAAGGACTTGGTTGCTGCACTCAAACAACTAGGGTTCCACCTCGTCTCCAAGGTAGGGCCATGGGATGGGGCAGTGCCTGCTGGGGTGTCTCACATCATCATGCTCACACGCAATGCAGCCACAGGGGGGGGGTTGAGTTGAAGGACTTTGTTGCCGCTCTCAAACAATTAGGTTTTCGCCTCGTCTCTGAGGTATGGCCTTTGGTCGTGTTGGTTCCGCTGATTGCACTGTACGATTTAACCTGGTAAACATAACAGCGGGCTGAAAGACTGAGCTCCGCCTTTGTTTGATCTTTTATTTTGTTGTTTCTTCTCCTTTTCTCTTAATTTTTTTCTTGGGCAGGATTTGAGCAACAAAATGTTTCTTCTTCTTTTCCTTGAGAAGGTGCAGGCAGAGGTGAGTGACAGCATGGTAGGCAAAGGTAAGGAACAATTATGCAATGTAAGTAGAATGTGTGAAAGGTTTCTGTCTCGCCGTCAATTTCGTTCAGTCTCTTGCATGATATTTTCTTTGCTTGTCCTGTGTTTACATTTTTACTCATTGCATTGTTCCCGCAGTCGCATGCACCCCCTTTTGTGGTTGTATGGTTTTATACGACGTTAATTTGTATGCCTTTCTTTTCTACGTGTGCTCTTGTACTTTGAATCGATGGATTTGTTGGGCTTGTTGGGGGAGATGGGTGAACGTATAGCATGCTGGTGCACTTCAGTCGAAGGACAGGCAGGTGAAGAATAATGCTTCATTGTCTGTTGACATTAATTGGCCAAGCTTGAAGCCATGCCTGTACAAGAGACGGTGATGTGTGGTGGCTGCACCGTAGTTGAGTTGAAATTTTGAGAAAGTGAAAGAAGCTACGCGGTTGTGACAACCATTCTTCCGAGATATTTACACTGTTATGCAGCTTCTGCTGTTCAATACCGTGTCGCGATACGCATGTCTGGTTTCAAAATTATGAGCTCTGGAATGAAGCTGAGATGGGTCTACTCTACCATACCTAGATATAGTTGAACATTTACCATAATCCCTCAGGTACTGTAAAAGATCTCCAGAATATAATCCCTCCTCTGATATCTTATATGGGCGTGGTGAATCTGTTATTTTGGCAGGTTTTCACTTTCCTTTCTCCCCCCTGGATGTATGTGAACCTGCTCTTATAAAAGAAAATAGGCTGTTTAGGGGTTGAACACTGACCAAATATGTGATGATACTGAAAGTTCAGGTTCTGTGTCTCTTCACTTCGTTTCGAGCTTCAAATAGGTGTTGCGTGGGGCTGGCTGGTTGGTTGGTGAGCGCGATTCCCAGATCCGCCATGAGTCCGCCATGGATTCTGCCGTGCAGCTTCATTCCCAGATCCCGTGACTGTTCTGTATCAGTTGACCTTAACGACTGCAGATCTGGACTCCTCGTTACAAGGCGCAGCGATCGATATTCTTTTTATGTCTACACGTCGGACATTGCATCTTTCGCTTATCGAGGTCTGGTTTCTGTTCAGGCAACTAATCTCGAGGTCTCTTGGGATCTACATACAGTTTCGTGGTTTTGTTGCATCGACTTAGGCTTCCTGCAGTTTAACATTGACAGCAGTGTTATTATTAAGGCTTTTGCTTACCATGATCCCGACGCGTCAACCTCGGTTTCTCATCACCAACTCCAAGAGCAATGGTCCAACGCCTCAAGTCTTTACCTACTTAAGTGGTTGGTGCTCAGAGTTGTGGCATCAGCTCAGACATTCGTAGTCTGTTTCTCAGCTTTGCAGCCACTTTTTCCTCATCATCGCACGATGCCTCCTAAGGGGAAGTCTAAGGTCCTGCCGGAAGCTCTGCCGCTGGATGCTTCCGCCTCGTCCGTGGATGATTCAACTTCTGTGCCTGCTCCGGCTTCGTCTGATCCTGCTGACAAGGGCAAAGGCAAGGTGGACGACCCAAGCAATGAGACTCTTCCAGAGGCTACTGCAAGTGGATCTGGTCTCTCGCTGGAAGAGAAGCTGCAGTCTCTCCGTGTCCCTGCTCCTGACAGTGGTTTTCTTGAAGATGACTACGATGAAGAGCTTGAAGTGAGCGTCAAGACGGAAGTCTTCAACCGCGTCCGTTACATGGCGATTCTGCTGCTCCCCGAGGCTCTCGCTCTGGAAGTCGCGTCGGTCATCACCACGGTGCGGACCCTGATGAAGAGGGTTTGGACTTCCTCGTTATCTGACGGTGCTGCTGACGCGGCGAAGTTCCAGGAGCTCTTACCGGCTTATGTGGCGAAGACCCGGTACTGTCGGCTGCAAGTTTCCCTCCTGCACGAAGAGGACATCATGAGTATTCGAGCGAAGGAGGTTGATTACACGCATCCCAACGGTTCTATTTTCCGGCTCTATTGGCAACACACTGACAACCCGGCGTTTGTGAAGGAACGTGCGACTAATGCGCAGGCGATTGAAGTGGTCATTCGTGATGTACCTGCGACGAAGACGCCTGAGATGCTGCGCGAGCTGATGGTGGTTTACCAGCTGCGGAACCGGAAGCGGTCGGCTTTCAAGGACGGTCTCTGCTTTCACCGTGTTCTGCACCCCGTCACCGGCGCTGACACTGACGTCGTTAAGGGGCTGGTGATCCCGCATCCTGGTGATCGCTACCGCTGGCGTCATGCTTTCGAAGATCCGCTGGAGATTGGTCGTCGTTACTTGGTCCACTTTCCTGCGCTATCTTGCCTGCTCTGCGGTGGTCAGCACTATGATGTTAATCATGATGCTTTCATCACGGAACGGCAAAATAACATAGGAAAGTGGCATCTTACCTTGGGGAGGGTGCATCGCATTAATGGTAACTGCTTTCATTCTTCTGATCATACTTACCATTGTACCTGTGTCTGTGCTAACCGCCCAGTTGTAACTTGCAGCTGCGTCTCTTCCGGCCTCCCCGCTGATCACCCCGATCTTGTTGGACCCGGCCATGGTGCTCATCTCCACCGGCGGAAATCGGGAGGAATGGATCTGCACGCAAGTGGGCTGTGGGAAGGCGAAGGGAAAGAGCTTCATGACTGCAGCAGATCATGTCACTTCCGCCAACCACCTCATTCATCTGGAGAAGCTCGGCTCTGCCACTCGTGCCTCTCTCGAGCGGGCGAGCCTCAACGTCACGAAGAAGGATTATGGGATCTGAAGCAAGAACAGCTCGGCAGACGGGCGGCAGCAGCAGCAGTAGTCCTCACAGTAGTTGGTCTCGGCCTCCTTCTTACCCTGTGGATGCGTAGGGGTTCTCAGTTTGTTATTAAATGAGTAAGAAAAGCCTTATCAGCTTTGCAGGCCTCAACGTCAACGGCCTAGGAGATAAGACTAAAAAACAACGTGTTCTAGACTGGTCCAGACACGCAGCTGACATCATTGTCCTCTCAGACACTAGAATAGCCTCAGATCACCCGCTTTGGTCACACCCCACTTACAGTCTAGCTGCAGCAGCCTCGCCTAGATCTAAGGCCGGCGGTGTGGCTCTGCTCTGCAGATCGCACGCCCTTAGCTTCCGCAACGTGTTAGTTCACCCATCAGGTCGCCTGGTTTCCGCTGACGTCCATGGACTCGGTTTGCAGCTTACGGTCGTAGCCTGCTATCTTCCAGCCAACCCGAATTCCCGTGCTACGTTCCTCCGTGACTCCTTAGGTCCCGCGATAGATCTGGTTCCGCCGTCCAACCACCTGCTCATTTTAGGTGACCTCAACATCATAGAAGACCCAATATTAGATAAGTCGTCACAGTTAGGGTCTACCGCTGAAAACGATAGGCTTTTCACTCGCTGTCAGGCTTTCCAGCTTTCAGAGGCTTTTAGAACGCTATACCCGAGGAAACGGGAATTCACTTTCTTCTCGCAAGCTCAGCAAGCTAGCACACGTATTGACCGCGCTCTTATCTCGCACTCTCTTCTTCCTCACCTGATCCAGGCATCCCATGTTATGCCAGCAGATTATATCTCCGACCACAGCTTCGCGATTAGAGTAGCTCTCCGAATCGACGCCAAAATCTGCCTCGGTCCTGGCCTCTGGCGACTCCACGCATCTATGGTACACAAAAGGGGTGTTCGGAGAATAGTGGAGGCAACGGTGGAGAAGTGTGTTGTTACGGATGGTAGTAGCTTCGAGCTGTTGATGTCTCGCCTGGCAGTCGGTCTTCGTGCCTTTGCGAGAGAGGAGGGTAAGCGGACCAAGGCGACGGCGTCCCATCTGGTTGATGTGGTGGCGAAGCTTCGCCAGGAGATGATGCGTGACCCGACCTGCAAGGCGACGAGCGAGAAGTTAGCATTGAAGGAAGCGCAGCTGCGGGAATATCAGGCATCACGAAAAGACAGGATCCACCTGATGTCGGGTATGCGGCTGGAGCTCAGAGGAGAAGTTGCGTCACAGCATTTAACGGCGATGGTGCAAGCGAGAAAGGCGAGCACTCAGATCGCTGAGTTGCAAACGGCGAATGGTGTCGTCTCTGACTCTCAGGGTATTCTTCGGGCGGCATCGGCTTTCTTCGCCGACATTTTCGGGACAGGCCGTTGTCAGTTGGAGGAAGATTGGAAACCTGCGAAGGGGAGAACATTGTCACCTTGGGAGGCAGCAGAGTTGTCAGCTGATTGGACACAAGAGGAGGTGAAGCAGGCTTTTGGTGCTATGGCTGCGAATAAATCTCCGGGGAAGGACGGCTTGCCGAAAGAACTGTTTGAAGCTCACTGGGACCTGCTCGGAAAAGGGTTCATGGCATTGGCAAAAGATTTCGCGTCGTCAGCGAAGCTCTCGACGGAGGTGAAGGAAGCGGTTACCATCTTGCTTCATAAAAAGGGTGATAAGGACCAGCTCAACAATTACAGGCCGATCACCCTCCTCAACTTTACCTATAAGGTGCTGGCGCGGGTCTTGGCTGACAAGATGAAGAAATTCTTGTGCAAGGTGATATCGCCTGAGCAATACGGCTTCTTACCGGGGAGGCGCCTGACAGATGCAGTGGGTCTTGTGGCGGATATTATCGATACGGCGCGGAGAGACAATGAAGACTGGTTCCTCCTCCTTGTCGACTTCAAGAAGGCGTTTGACTCGGTCTCGAGAGGCTACCTGTTTCGGACGATGAGGGCGATGGGTTTTCCAGACCGTTTCGTGAAGTGGGTGGAAGGCCTGCATGAAGGAACACAGACGCGACTATTAGTTAACGGTTGGATGGGGGAAGGCGTGGAGGTAGTATCTGGAGTCCGGCAAGGCTGTCCGCTCGCACCCTACCTCTTCTTGTGTGCGGTTGAGCCTCTGGCGCAGATTGTTCTCAAGCGGAAGTTGGGAATTAGCAAGGCTGACGAGCGGCTGGCGTATATCGGGTACGCGGACGATACCACCTTGATCCTGGAAGGGAAGCAGCAGATCATAAGAGCAGAGCAAGTGCTGGCGAAATTTGAGCTGACATCCGGGCTAGCGACAAATCGGGAAAAATCGGTCATCTTACCGTTGGGTAATAACCTCGGCAGGACGACCGGTCGGTCCAATAGCTTCAGGTGGGCGAAGAAGGATGAAGCCGAAAAGCTGCTTGGCGTGTGGATCACCCCATCCGGTAGCTGCCTGCCAACATGGGAAAAGACTGCAGAGGACATATCGGGGAAGGTCAAGAAGTGGCAGCAGAAGTATCTTCCAACAACGGCACGATCGGCGGTTGTTAACAGTTACTCGATGCCGAAAGCAGCTTTCCAGGCGCAAGTCTATCCGCCACATGCGAAGTTGTGGGGTACGGTCTCCAAGACATTCCAGAACTTCGTCTCGGGCAATAAAGCAACGGCGGACAGGGGGTTTAGATTATGGAGTAAGGACCTGCTTTATACGCCGCGGAAGTTGGGAGACGTGGGGGTACAAGACCCGGAAATGATTTTGGCGTGCTTAACGGCGAGAAGGGTGGGACTTATGGCGGTGGAGACTAATCAGCTGAAGCGGCATCTGATGACACGTGCGGCTGATTTACCCATGGGCATCGAATCCTTCTTCGCCCATGAAAAGCTGCTCAAGCACTGGGAGGGAAGCAGCGCTCGGTAGAAAGTAGCATGCGAGAACTTTATGAAGACACCGCTGGGGATTATTCCTGAGGCGAGCACTCAGGAAGCTGTGGCGAGTGAGCGGATCGTCTTCAACAAGCGGCTCCTACTTAAGGGAACCACGCCGGTTGGTGGTCAGCAGGATGCGAAACCGCTCTGGGAAAAACGGTTGGGGGATCTGCTGAAACTTGGCAGTGACGGTGTTCTGGAGCTAAAGGACATGGCTACCCTCGCAAGGGAGCTTGGCGGAAAAGGGCCAGCTAATTTGGCGAAGAAGGCGTTTGAGGCTGCGCCACTAAGGTGGAAGGACTTGCTGCTCTGTGCACCCAGTCAGGGGATGGGGGCGCTCAACTCGGCTGGCTCTCGGCAAGCATACCTGTCAGCAGGGCGCAAGCTCACGGACTTCCCCATCTTTGAGAATGGGGGGATTGCGCCACTGAAGCGGTTGAAGTTACTCTGGAAAGAGGGGCAGAAACCATCTGCGAAGCAGCTACTGTGGAAGGGCAGATGGAATGGAAGGATTGACTGGAAAAAGACTATTGCTATCCGGAATTCTCTGGTCGTCCCCAGCAGACCGAGGGATGTTCTGCTGCGTATTCACAACCTGAATCTGCAAGTGGGGGAAAGAGTGGCTTTCTTGAGCAGCAGACCAACCTGCCCGTACTGTGGGGGTGTCGAAACCCTCGAACACTGCCTTTTCAGCTGCCCCAAAATCCAGGCAGTGACCTCTGCGCTTCAGAAATCGCTCCGCATGATGAACGGCTCGCGAGCGGTGGAGTCGCTGGGGGATCTGCTATTCCGGAAGGCGGGGTCCAGCACGGCATTTCCAGAGGCCACGATCACTTCAATTGCCTTACAGCAGCTGTGGGTGGAGCGCTGTGAGGCGACATTCAGGGGGGAAAAGTTCCGAACCAAGCGGGTTCTCCGCCGCATAGAAACGGCTTTCCGTCTACATGCAAGGATCTACACGCGCTCGAGGGATGTGAAGTGGCGGAAATGTCAGGGCACGCAGCAAGAGGAGAAATTTCGTCGCATCAAAGAGGGAGAGGACAAACTACTGTTTCGGATCAGGGACAAAACGAGTAAATCGTGGGCGTGGACGAAGGCCTTCTCGAACATCTGGCTTGCGCCGAGGGTGATACATCGACCTCCATAGATGACGCACCTGGGGTGGCCACGTGGGTGCCCCTCATGCACAGTTACGACTGTTATTGATTATGTATGCTTGCCCTATCGGTGTACATATCAATTACCTAAAAAAAAAAAAAAAGCGGTTCCACGCTGGTGACGAACTGTCCACACTGGTGAAACCCAGCTTGAGGGAGTTTCATCTGTGTGTCTCATCGGATTGTTGAGAATCGGTGGGCGTCGCTCCCGTTTTGCCCGTGGGGACGACGCTCCCGTCGCTCTCCCAGCGCCGGGTCGGCGGAACTGAAACCCCACCAGCTGGGGCTTGTCGGGACCCGCAGCACGCGAACCAGTTCCCCGTCCCACCTGAGCTCCGCACCCCTCGTGCATGTTCCCCATCGGCGACGAGGAAACCAACCTGGTTCCGCGAAAGCAAATTTCCAGGAGAATCAGCTCGCGAAACTTCATGAGAACACAAATTTCCAGGTCACAAAAACAAACCCTGGCAAAATCATGCCTGTGCGAACGTTGCGACACGTGCGCGACTCACCTGGATGAAACAAATCGTCCTGCGAGTGGCGTGCGACGCGTGTCGCTGGCTTCGTCAACGTCGTCACTCGTTAGGCGTGAGCAAGGCGTGAGCTGGACGTGGAACCATGCACGAGGTGAGCACCACGCCCTCTGCCCTGCTGCCACGTGCACCTCGAATCGAGATGCACTGGTCTGGCCGTTTCTTCCCCACACGTTAGAGCGTGTTACACCTGCTAGGGTTTTAGCAACGATCCTACGGAACAGTTAGCAATCTTACGGAACAGTTGCAATCCTTCACAACAGTGCCCTACCTACTTTTGTACAGTGATGATTTTGATGATTTCGATTGGTTATCACCGAAAACAATTGTTACTGTGTAGGACACTGTTGTGTAGGATTGCAACTGTTCTGTAAGATTGCCAACTGTTCCGTAGGATCGTCGCTAAAACCCTAGCAGGTGT